GTGTGTGTGTGTGTGTGTGTGTGTGTGTGTTTTCAGCTCAAGATGGCCTAAGGACAGGTGTGGGTGTCTGGCATTTCAAGAAGCGATGTCAAAGGCCTTCAGTTCTGTATCTGATGTGTCTGCTGCGAGCGGGAGATTGTGTCGGGTCATGAATAAATGAAGAGACACAAAAGACAGGTGAGGAGAGATGTAGGGTCATTAAAAAGGGATAAAATAAAAAGATGGTTTGCAACACTCAGCATCCACAGGAGATGAGTTTGTTTTATTCACATTCAAGCTGTAGATTTTATATTTAGATTTATTTTTCATTCAAAACTATAATGTAAAAAATTGTTTTGTATTAAATGGAAAAAGCATGATAAAATGGACATTGGGGTGATACTGAATCTGTGTATGATTKATTKTTTAGTTTTTCCATTCCAAAATAAAATGAGAAAAGACGAAAACTCTGGTGTTTGTTTATTTATTTATTTTTTTGTGTATGTATTTTTGTTCCTTTTTTATAGTTTTTTTTTTTTTTGTTTTAAAAGTAAATTAGTAAAATTGAAAATTGCAAATTGACAAAGGCTACCATACTTTTTTTCATTTAAGGCAAAGACAGTCTTATATTTTGTTGCTGCACCGTTACCTTTTAGCAGAACTGGAAATCATCATGACCTGAATCCCTGGTGCACTGCATTTTCACTTAGTACTTTAGAAACAACCTTACTTAAGAGTAATCAATGCATCTTTAGYGCTATTTTACTGTGAAGAAAATTGCTTTAATACTACAAGTTATGAAAACAGAAACAGATCCTAATGATTTTGGCATAGGTGCACTCCATCCTGATTCTAGCAGTCTTCCAGCCATGATGAAATCTTCTTCTTTGGCGAKTTCCAACATTTCCCGTATTGCTACATATTAAAACAGCAATCATATATTGTATTTTGGATTTAAATAGCTGAAGTGGATTTTTTAATTAGTTGAATTTGAGATTTTTACATTTTGGTTCTGAAAATGGAAAAACTGCACAGTTGTTTTCTTTTTGCAATTTTAGTTTGAAATGGAAAAACCAATGAATGAACCATACAACATGGATTATACTGTATTCAATGACTGGTTGCAGAAAGATTGAATTGGATTTTGATGTGTGCTAAAGATATTTCAGCCTAGTTGCAACTCAAATTGCTTCAAAGCCTTTCATGAACAATTTATCCTACAGTGTTGAGCTGCACACTGATTCTGCCAACCAAGAAACGGTCTGATTTCAAACCTCCYTCGCAACTGCAGCCTAAAATGTCAAGCAATGTCAAATAACTCAATATTTAAGAACGACTCCAATAAGCATCCTATTTCTTTTAAATAWATATTGATGAAAACATTTAGATTCCAGAGGAGACCTAACCTGTCCAACCAAGCCAGCAGGCTCTTGGCAGCGGTGATGAGGTCAACCACGGAGGTCAGCAGATCATTGGGGAGTCGCCGGGAGRTCCTGCTCTCTAACTGGCTGCTCCGACGGCGGCTGGAGATGAAGTTCTGTAAGTTCTTGGCCGAGGCACCGAGCTTGTGAGCCAGAGTCCTGACGCTCTCTGTCTCCAGACCTGAATTCTAGATGCACACAGAGTCAGAAAGCTAACCATCATGAATACTAATAATAATAATTTCTCAACACGTTTTGACATTTTCGTCTGAACGGGACTTTGATGTCTTTGTGGGTTATTAAAGGATGTGACTGACATAAATATYAATGAATCCCAATGAATAAAATGGTTTGAATAATTAAAGAGTGCAGCTAAAGATGACACGTGGGGAGGACTAAAATGACGTTTTTTTTAGTGTAAATACTTGTGACCAGAAGGCAGCAAGTTGGTTTTTTTTACATAAATTATTCATGTTTTCATCATTTGAAGGTATAAAACTTGTTTTTTTTTTTCTGATATTTAAGAAGAGAATTTCAACAATTTCAAGAAGAGCCCTTACTTTTCCCTAGTGACATTTGGGAATTGTAAAAAAGTGGAGCAGGACACAAACACTTTACTCCCAACCATTTGTTTCTCGGCGCATTGAAGAGAAGCCGAATAAATTGCAGTAGCGGCTTTAAAGGAGTCTAATAAGAGTCAGGAACTGCAAACAAAACCAGACCCATAAAACTCACCAGAGCACACAACAGGTCCACGGCCTCCAGAATGAGRTCCTGGTGTCCGATGCGAGAAACTCCCAGCTCCTCCAGCTCAGCGTGGCTGATCCTCAGCAGCCGCTCCCCGCAGACACCTGCCCGCTCGAACACGCTCACGTACTGCTGCAAGCAGTCGTCCAGACCTGAAACAGACATGCACAACGATCAGCATTGTGTCAGACATCTTGTTTTAAACAACTCACTGTGGAAACATTTGTCTGTTAAAAACACACTGCAGCACCTTATGCTGTTTATTAGTTTCACATCAGGAAAAAACAAATATAGCTGCAATGTTAAGATTTATCTTAATACAAAACATAATGATGTGTCCAGCTTCTGTAAAACAAGCTGAGGTATAGCCAACTTTGTCTTCCCTAATATCAGTTGTTTCTGACGGTCATCTTGACTTTGTTGAGTCCAAAAGTGAAGGGCATTGTCAGCTATTAACAAACAAAAGTTTGATCAAACATATTAAAAGAGGGGGGCAACTTGGGCAGCCAGTGGTTTCAACCGCCTACAAAAAAAAAAAAACAAAAAAACATGGGAAAGGAGTAGGCACAGACCTGTGCGGGACAGCGTTAAGGGGAGTGTAATTCTGGTGTTTGTGGATTCCGACAAACCACCCACTTTTCTAAAGGTCCGTTTATAGCATTTGTTTTTTTTTTTCTTAATCTGTTTTTATTCCTGAATTGCAGAAGTCCTGTGCATATGTATGGTGCAGTGCATTTCCCTGTGCTTGGTCAATAAAAGTCACATTCACTGACTTCCACAATGTTTTCTCTTTATTTCTTTGAGTGTTCATGAAAGCCAACAAGGTACACTTTGGAATGACCTTATTATTGTATCATGTTTTTGATCTGAGTTCCTTTTACAGAATGAAATGTCTGAATGAGTGTTCATCCAAGACTGGTGATTCTGTACTTTTTGCCAGGGGTTATACATATACCCATATAT